GGGGGGGGGGGGGGGGGGGTGCTCCTAAAATGGGGGGTGATGATGAATATGAGCAGTCGTACGCGATGCTCCGCAGTAGAAATTCCACTCCCTGCAAAGTCAGGGCAAAGTCAGCAAAGCCTGAATGGGCAAGCCGGGAGTTTGATAGCCCCGGAAGCTGTTTGTCTGACCTTCCAAGGCTGCAGTCGTAGCCGTAGGAATCCGTGTCCGCGAGGGCGTACGGGCCGCGGTGGGTGGTCGAAATTCCGGAGAACATGTTGTCGACGGCCATGGATCGGTTACACCAGCACGAGCGCATCTTGTTGGCATCCCAAAGATCATACGTATACCCGTCCTGCGCTTCCCCGTTGCTGATGATCGTCTGCAACAACGACAAAATGCAGTCATGGTCGTGATCGCCGGCTTTGTTGTCATCCAAGAAGAAACGGAGAGGAATGTAGTAGTGGTGGCGGCAGGCCGAAGGGTGTGACTCTTGCTGCTTCGCTGGTTGAGGAAAGCATCTGTACTGTCACTGTTCAGATGTTCCAAGTACAAGAAGCGAGAACATTTACTTCGACGTGAACCACGAGTTCGATTGACCCACCTGCGAAACAGACGGCGCGCGGAACACCGCACAAAAAATTGCTTTTCTACCCAATATCGTTTCCTCACCGCTGCGAAGTACTCCATGTCCTTGCAAGTCCCCACGTCGTTGCACGTCGGGCAGTCCATGACCTCGCACGCATCCCCGGCAAACATGCCGCTACGGCAAGAGCAGATCCCCGTAGACTCGTCGCAGACCCCGCCCGCGGAGCACTGGACGGACAGCCCCGTCCGACCACCCTCGGCCCCAGTGCTCACGTTCCACGCGGCTTCCTCGAACCACGCCACACCGCTGTCGCAGTCCTTTGTTTTTGTGATATGATGTGATTGGGAGGCTGGTCGTTTCGGGCCAGTGACACCACATTGACCAGTCGGTCTCGAATGGCGAGAGTTTGCGTCAGGACGAATATTTGGAGAGAAGTGGAAAAAGTCAAGCGGATGAAGAGGAGCAGTCTCGCTTGCGTTATATAGTGAAATACGCTCCTCTTGCCGCGGGTGTAGATACTATATATTCCAATGTAGGTCGCTATCGATTTGCCTGTGACACAGATGACTTGAGGTGGTGGTGACAACAACTCCGTTACATAGGCCGCGAGAATAAATGGATACGGTGCGTGCAGCCCAGGCATTTCGGCGCAGGATACGGTGCATGTTCATACAGTGCACTGTATGCCGTTGAGCGATCATGTTCGCGCTCGCTTACACGTAGCTCGCAAGCACCGCCCGTGTAGCCCTCAGTGCAGTTGCAGCGCCACGTCTCCTGGTCGCAATTCCCGACCCCTGCCAGGATGAGGTGATTGCAAGGTAGCAGCGTAATAGTAGTCACACAGAGAGCGCGTGCGCGGCTTCGTATCGAAGGCGAGCATGGCAGAGAGAAGACGATGATGGTGGGTGCTTTATTGTTCATTCTAAAGGAAGCGCAACGGTTCATGTTTTTCCCCGGTCCGGTCCGCGGTTCTAGCGGAAAATGACACTACTTCATGCCCTTTGGCGGATATTCTCAACAACTCTACAGTTATATATATACCAAACGACTACGCCACAGATCCGAGCACGTCTGTTGGGGTCGAAGACCAAGGATCTAGGGGCAGGGCAGGGCTACCATCGCATGCGTATATGAGTCAACAGCCGAGCGGCGTCGCACTTAGCGGAGCGTGCGAGATACCACGCCCGCAACGCACAACTTCGGCTTCAATGCGCTAGTTCGTACGGAACAGCTAGGATAGATGTTGCGAAGGAGCAGGAGAACATGCTGACACTCTCACAATCTTTCTTCTATTTAGCTCACCGCTACAGAGAGCCGAAGTGGAACCCCACACCGGCGTGACCGTGGTGCAGTTTGTGGGGGGGTCGTACGAGTCGTAGTATCCGCAGTCTCCCATATTCCCCTCACCACCCATCCCATCGGAGCTGCTGAACTTGGAGTAACACATACAGTGGCCCGTTTGGCGATTGCAGGAGCCCCGGTCAGAGCATTCCTTGGCGTCCTTCGTACCGATTTGGCTGAAGAGATGAGGGTTGAGACCGCTCGCCTGAGAGTTGCACAACAATGTTTTGGATATGTGATGGCCGTGTAGTTGTTTTGCCTCTGTATTCGCGGTCGCTGGACTAAAAAACTGGTGAGTTAGCGTTTCTTCTGGAAATGTCTGGGTGTACGCCGGTCCTTGTGCGATGTCCAGCTTCGGGCTTCCGAACAATGTTATGACTTGCGAAGAAAACATGCAGAAGGTACGAACCTCGTTGGCCGAAGGGTGTAGAGGCCGTTCAATCATGCCACTGAGCAGGATATTGTTGCATGTATGCATAAATGCTTCTGTATTTTTGGTGGATAAGCCTCGATATCGTGTCCGAGGCGCCACTACCACTCTCAGCGGTTGTTGCTGAGACTCGGGACTAAGTTATCCCAGGAACGGCGTAGCCATCATGAATATTACTCAAGACATGGAGCGCTCACCCCTCAGGCGAGTGACCGAAGCACACCGGCATGTGCTCTCCCGGGGGGGGGCGCACTTGAGCCCCAACCGCATACTTACCCATTACACACATGGTTCCTATACGCGAACCACCCACAGAGGGCACACAGATCGGACTCATATCCAAGTACCATAAACAACATGTGGGTGTCAGAAGTATATTTACGTCCGGGAGTGTCGGTGGGGATGTCTACTGGATGAGTTGACGTTGCTAACAGACTTCCTTCGCGAACAGCAACGGCTTAACCCTGGTTTCAACTGCCGTGGGAGGATACACGTGACACATGAAAGCTGGGTCGCATAGGGAAAAGGCAGCAACCTCTTATGCGCGGCCGGGACAGCGCGCTTTTCGGACTTCGTACGATCGGGCATTTCCTCTCAAATCATGCGCCAATTGCAAGGCATCCCATGCCCTCCACGCGCTGCTCTTGCAACGGAAAACTACCAAAACGGTCGGTGCTTTAAACGGCACAAAATCAATTTCGATTGAGTTTCTTTGCATTTGGGTTGTGCAAGCTTTAATCCACTCTCTTGGAGCCTAACATTCATGTGCACATCGTGTATTAATTTGCTACTACAAGCCTCGCCATGCCTGAATTCACCCCATAGTACCCTGAATTTCTCTCACCTGATTGAAATCAGGTTCTGTGATCGAAACTTCAGGCGTTTACGGGCTTAATATCATCTTCTGCACTACGAAAAACATTGTTGAGGCTATACAGAAGGCAGATACAACAGAACAAACCTCACCTGTCCTTTCGCATACACTGCCACAGATGGGTCGTCTGTGGTGGACGCAAGCGAGGCGACGTCCGCGGTCATGTTCGACAGCGGACCGTGCTGCAGGAGAAAAGCCACGCGGCTGGTGACACCGTCGTTGCCGCCGCAGATCATGCCCCCCGCCCCAGTAATGTTTACTGAGACCACGCCGACCGTGTCAAGCTCCTGCGCAAGGCAAAACAACGTGCTATGTTGGTGTGTCCGGATCCAATACGACGGTGGGCGCGGTTTGCCTGGTTGTTTGCTTTCCGTCCGCATCGGTGGAGAAAGTGAAAGACATCCGATAGACTGATTCGTGGCATTTTCGTAGGTTTGGTGCAAGTGCTTTGTACACGGGAAGAGGAAGAAAAGGGGGGTGAGGGGCGTGCAATAGGCAGAAAAAGCAGAAACAACAGTCTGCGGCCAACAACATTCGTATTTGAAACATACGTCTACGAAGTATCATGAAGCGACATTTGAACAGAACAAATCAAGGGTAGGCGATAAGCAACAGCTTAAAGCACCCGACACCTCGCTACGTATGGACCCAAAGATGGAACGAGCCATGGCGAAGAAGAATGGACACGAAATATCATTAGTATCGTACCGAAGGAATTCGTACGGAAAACGGCATGCTGGCGAGACCCGTGAGCCATTCTGACTTGAAGGCAACAACAACAACAGCAAGAACAACAACAACAGCAGCAACCACGACGACCACGACGACGACGATGACGACGATGACGATGACGACGACGACGACGACAACAGCAGGACAACACTCGCACAATACCTCGAGCCGGTACTTGACAAGTTCCGCTGATGCATCGAAGGGGATAGGTCGGGTGCTGTGCCCCCGGAAAGCCAGCAGTAGCGATCCCGAGCACTGCCCGGGGCAGTAGCAGTCGATCAGCTGCTCCTCGTCCTCGCCCACGATGTCAGGGAACGGGTCAACGCCTTTAGGGCAAGACCTGAGCACGAAACAAAGATGATCCGCATGTTCCGTATGTGACGGGTGCAATAGTTTGACGCATAAAAAGGACAGACCGGTGAAGTATTATATGGTCAAAGGTCTACAAAATGAGTTGGCTTGTGTCGGTGCGAAAGATGTGTGGGAAAGGGCTCTTCTCACGTCACACGAACCCTGCAAAAGAAACCATTTTTGAAGAGATGGAGAGCGCGACGGGAGTCGAGCGGTAGCATGAAACGTGTATTCCGTGTTGTAATTTTCCAAGCCATTGACATTTGGGAGGCTGACCTTCTGTCTTGGGCCATTCCCGACATGAAAACACGCAACGCATGTTATTATTGCCTTATTTCGTGTGTGGGGGCCAGGCATGACATGCAACTGATTCATATCCCGTACGTCATTTAGACTGTTCAGAAAAACATTCACCGCCATATTCCCCCGTTCTCTTTTCGAGGTACATTCCACTCTTCGCGGAACTTGCCGATGGGTTTGAGGCGTTTGCGCTTGGTGATATGCCTTCCTCGGCGTAGGAAGCCGATTGATTGATGTACTCCTTCCAAGCTACATTGGGATGCGTACTGGCATCAGTTCGTTCTCCCCGTGACTGATGTACAGGGGCAAACAATGCGATGGACAGCAGTGCTAGGGTCCACCGGTATCGCACTGATCTCACCTATGTGAACAGTCATATCCTTCCCAGCCGTCGTCGCACAAGCAGCCGTAAATCATGTCCGCATCCCAGCCGTCATATACGCCCTCGAACTCTAAACTATCCCCGTCAATCAACGCCGCCGCTTCGCGCATGGACATACACCTGTTGCGTCGTCATGTAGGTCAACAACGGAGAGGGAGGGGGTCATTCAAGACAATTACAGCTCGACAGCTTATTCACACTCCTCGCTCGCAATAAAGTAACACCTCTCTGTAAGAAGTATGAATAGGGTACCGCTGGAATGGTAGATTACCCATGCACTTCTCCTGCGGAAGCAGAAACGCTGCCTGAGGATACGATTCCGGTGCAGTATGGGGGGGGGGGAGCCCAGTGCGGTACCGAGGTATCGCAAGGCAGCCCGAGTGGCCGTGGTTGGCTACATATGATGATGCAGTGGCAACGGGGTGCTACAACATCATGTGGACGTCTACGTCTGTACGAAGCCCGTCCGAGTGCATATCGCAGTTTTTGTTGCGGAAGAGTTCACGGCCACCATAATGGAAGCACAGGTTACCTCCCTCGGCCGTTGCAGTCGTTAAAGCATTCCATGCGCTGGCAGGCCTCCCCTGCGAAGCCTGTCCGACACGAGCAGAGCCCGGTGGCCCGGTCGCACACTCCCATGTTTGAGCACTCTGTGTAGGCTGCATGTGCGGTGTTGTTTGCCGTGGCGTGGTCCACCCAGGCGGTTCCGCTTGGGCAAAGCCCTGCCGCCAATCGTAAAAATCGCATGGTAAACAACTTCGACCCGTACGATCGTAGTGCTTCAGCACGGCCCATGCAAGATGCTGGGGCTTCCCGGAGTATTTGTTCCGCACCAGACTACTCCGGTACCGTAGAGGACTGCGCCAAGGAGGAAATGGCACAACAATACTTATGGGGACGGATCGCTCGACAATAGCAACCAAACTTGACTTCAAGTACGGATGCGAGTACTCACGGATCGAGCAGTCACCGCCGGCCCAGCCCTGGTGACAAGCACAAGTCTCTGTGCTGGGACCTGTGCAGTACCCGTGGCCGCTGCATGCGCTGGGACATCCCCCGCCAAAGCCCACCGACACCGACGCGCCGAGGACTAGCACTGCTGTGGTGCCGTTGCTACTGCTACTGGTAAATCTGGATGATGACCACCTTTGGACAGCGACGAGGACCAAAATTCTCCAAACCAAGCACCACTCTTTCGACCTTCGTCTTGTGTGCTGGCGGGGTGATGAGAGTACGCATTTTTGTACTCCCGCTGTCCTGGTCCCGCCGCTGCTGCCTCCTTCGCCGCCTTCCCGCGGCTCCTCGATATTCCCTTTCGTTCTCCGGTAGACATCATAAGCCGTCTTCACTGCCATCATCGCCTGTTTGTGGCGCAAAGCGGCCACTTCTAGCCGACTGTGGAGGTTGTAGTGGTAGAGGTGGGAGCGCTTATGGGATGTGAGGGGGTTGGCAGCGGCGGATCCCTCCTTGCTATTGCAGATCGCCCCCAAGTTGTTTTCAGCTTGTTGGATCCTTCAGCTTTTTGGATCCTTCCTCGATCGGAAACACGGCCGTATGCCCCTTTGCACTTGGCACCGCTACACGCTTGTAAGCCGAGCACCAAACATTATACTCTTTCTGCAACTAAACTGGCAACTGTATGCATACACGCGTGATGATAAATGCATCATGGTGCGAAGGTGTATGCATAGGTTGGATCTACAAAACAACAAAAAAAAATGCACGCTTGGCGGGTAGAAGGACCACCCCTCCCTGGCTTTGGATCCATTTTCATGCCATCCGTGGCCCCCCCTCGGCAAGTTTCGCCGCAAGAACCGCCCTCTCTTGGCTGTTGGCTCTGGTGCACCTCCTGACGTCATTATCCTGCACTTGTGATATGCGAACGACCATCTGGACCAGTGCTCTCTCTTGCGTATCCAGCTGTGCCCTTCGCCCCATTACCGCATACCGACTGCCCTGGGCACCCCAAAAAAACTTTCGCTTGTTCCGAAGCACTACTACTCTTGCCACCCAAAAGCTCTCTCCTCTCCTCTCGTCACTGAGCACTTCGCCTCCAGCCATGTCAGACTCCAGCAACAAGTACGACGTCGTGGTGTTCGGAGCGACGTCCTTCGCAGGACAGCTCGTGTGCGAGTACTACCTCGCGAACTACGGGGCTTCGCCCCCGACCTTCAAGTGGGCGGTGGCAGCACGGTGAGTCATATTCTACGCTGCCCAGCCGGCCTCTACTCGTTGTTTGGCTTAGCAGGCCGAAATTTGCGGACCCTGTCTTCGACGGAGGACGGACCCTTGCTACCCCCCGCAACACGCCGCCCGGAGACACCAGGTTGCTGTCGCAATCTAGACCCTCTCCTATGTTGCTACCATTGGTTCCCATCCGTCTTCCTGCAACGGTGGACAGCGGGCGTTGGAAATTAAGGGCACAGATAGTTGTGCGTCGTATTTACTACTGTCAACTACAAGTCTAACTGTTTCCGGAGAACGTGGATGTACAGCAAGAGAGCCAGCGCGCCCACCAACGGCGGCCTCATGTCGCGTGGTTCGTCGCACTACAGAGTACTGCTATGTCAGGAGCCGGTTGCTGTAGCATGCCAACAACTTCGGAATTGCCCCCACCAGCAGGGGAGTCATTTCTAATTTGGTGCGAGGCCGCTGGACGGCGGAGGGCTGGACAAGCACACGAGCACACAACCAACATCAGCTTTCTGTGTGTTCAGCTGCTTGCTGCATGCTGCTGTACCAGCTCTATCGTCGACACTGCTGCTGTACCAGCTCTATCGTCGACACTGAATCTGTCTTGTCGGTCGGGTCCTGATGTGCTTGCTGACTCCCTACGAACCCACTTCGTAGATCCGAATCGAAGCTTACGGCACTCAAGGAACGCCTAGCGTCCGAGATCGATTCCGCTGCCTCGACCCTGCCCACCATTGTAGCCGATAGCCTGGACGACGAGGCGGTCGGGGGTATGGTATCGCAGGCCAAGGTGAGAGCGGAAACGCAAAACAGCCGTGCGCGATCGGGCCGTTTCATTCTCAGCGTTTTTTTCCTTCTGAGATTTTGGCGACTTACCAGACGGCTGCCTACCGCTCGCGTTTTTTTCTAGAAAAAATAAATCCACACACAGGAAGACATTTGTACCCGTTCGAGATATATACCCACAGTTCGTTTGTACTCACGAAAATGACGGACGCAGGTCTTCGAGAAGACGAATTCGTCTACTGGCGAAACAATTGCAGTGCATCCTCCAATCAACATGCTGTCGCAGTGACATGGAGACACCACCCACAACAACCTTGGCCCCCCAAACTACTACTCATCGCCCCCTGTTCTCGTGCCAACTCTCCTTTTTCGGGTTTTGTTCATGAACCACCAAAAGTATAGGTCATCATCACCACGGTAGGCCCGTACGCCCGCTACGGCAGCAAGCTGGTTGCGGCGTGCTCCGCGGCCGGGGTGCACTACTGCGACCTTACGGGGGAATCGCTCTGGGTGAGGGGCTTGATCGAAAAGCATCACGAGGAGGCCGAGCGGACCGGCGCGAAGATCGTTCCGTCCTGCGGCTTCGACTCTATCCCGGCGGTGAGACGATAAGAGAGAGACAGAGACAGAGACAGAGACAGAGACAGAGAGATGTGCTTGGAAAGAAAAACAGTCGGGGGCGGCCTCCTGGGGCGAACGTGGCAGTACTCGTGGTGGTATCACTGTAGTCACTCTGTGTTGCTACGATCAAGCGGGCAGGGGGGGCATGCACTACACAGATGATTTCGGTTGCATCTGACCGAGGCGCCTTCCGCGTCCGCCTTTACCGAGACATGGAAAAACCCGTGAAGTAACCGGAAAGATGTTTGTTTCACACGTGCCCCATGCGGATATTTGTTGTCGAGGCGATTGTTCGTACGTTAGCGCAAAGATTACGGTTTATGGGGCTGTGGTGGTCGCGTGCCCTGTTATCTTGGAGAACCCTTGCCTTTTTTGTCGGGCCAACGTCGAAAATACGAAAGATGAACGAGGTTAACTCTGTTTCTGTGACGAAAAACGCCGACGCCACTCTGATGGTCTGGTTTTGGCATAAACCTTGAACAATACACGCTTTCAACTGTTTTGATGGAAGTGCTTCCGCGGGATCGTACAGTAGAGAGCGTCCATGCTTCGTCCGCCCACCTAAACAGCATGTTTCTTTGGTGGTGGTTTTCTCTTTATGATTGAGCAGGACGTGGGAACGCTCATGATGGTGGATTACATGAGGCGGACCCATGGCTTGAGCCCTGACGACGTCCGCTACTTCTTCAGCGCCTCCAAAGGCGGCGTCAGGCAAGTCTTCATTTTTGCTGACGCGAGTTTTGTGCACCTTGGTGCAAGTGCAGCTCTCGTGAGTCTCTCGTTCTGGTGATGCCAACCAGTTTCCTCCCACGTACCTAGTTGTAGAGCGAGACAGAGACAGAGAGAAGAGTCGTGTTGGGTTGGTGACCTCAAATGGTACGTGCCCCTTCTGGCGGCGAAACCAAGATGTAGACGGCAAGAGTATGTATGAGGCTGAGGCCAATCAGTGGTACATGTACTGTACCGCACCCCTCGTGTTCGTGAAGATTTTTGAAGCCTCAAGGCGTCCCCTCTCTTCCTTCACGTGCTCTGCCCGCCACATCGATGTGGTGCCGGCACTCGCTCGCCAAACACACACACGACAACCTTGGGACGGACAAAAAAACAATACAGCGGAGGCACCATCGCGAGCGTTCTGGATATTTTCGAGCAAGTCTGGTCCGGGGGAAAGGCGATCACCAGCAAGCTGGCCGACCCGCTGCTGCTGACGGCGACGCCCGGCTTCGGAAAGGCTGCAGACCCCGGCGGACTCGGCTACGATTCCATGGCGAAATGTGAGAAACCACGGGCTGTGTCATAGCTGCTTCTCCTGTGGGTCTTGCAGCCGGTTATTGTGCAGCCTCTCATAAGAAGCGTGTGTTCGTTCGGTCCCGTACACAGACTCCGCTGGCGCAAAATGTGTGTGCGTGTGTTGTATTGCCTTCTTCCGGACGCCGATGTTTGACGTCCTCGGTGTGCGTTTCTGGACGCAGGCCGGGTTTTCATCAGTCTTGATTGTCTTCGTTTTTATTCCACCTTCCTACTGCGGCTCTTGCCTCAGTGTTTCTGCCGAGAAGCATCCAGCCGTTTCATGCCCTCGTCGACCTTGGAAGTTCATTGTTTGCGCGCTCACGAATTTTCCGCCTTCCGATCGTTTGGGACCAATGTGAGACCGAGCTGCGTTTGCGCCGAAGGTTTTGTCTCATTTTCAGATATCTGAGGGTTGCGATGTTGTCGAATGATCACCTGGAGCGACCAGCGTGTGAAAGAGAACGTACGGAGTACCATATTTTGGAGCAGCCTTACACAATGAAAGAAGCTCGCACCAACTCTCGCACGTCCGGCTCGGGCTAGAGTTGTCCTTAGTCCTTATCAGCGAGAGGCAATCGTGTGCGGCGCCAAGAGCAGGGGTGGATCTGGATCATGAGACGAACTGCGAGACGTTTGCATGCACGCGCGCCCTGCAACCCGCTCTTGTGTGATATCGCTCTCACGCGTAGCTCGAAGTGTTTCTGTGTTTTATTGAAGTCGCATGAATCGGTCGTTGCTGCTGCGTCGAAGTCGTCGATGCCTTCAACTTTTTTCAGTCACCAATTGAGTGTTGAATTGCCGTTGTCGCTTTCTTTCCACCACAGCATGGACAGCGTCGAGCGTGTTCGCCAGCCACGACTCCAAGATCGTGTTCCGCAGCGCAGGCCTGCTGGGCTACCCGGAGACCTTCCGGTACAAGGAGGTCAGGGGCTTCAAGGTACGGCGGTGGCAGCGGCGCCCACGGTACTGTAGTGGGAGTGCAACGTTGCATTCCGGTTGCAGTTCGCTCACAGATCCGGCCCAGGCCCAAAGACGATCCCGACCTCACCTCTGACAACTCCAACCCCGGCTTGACAATACAACTTAGCTACATTACTCGGACAGTGCTTGGCACATGGGTCTGTAGTACGTAACACGCAGCAGCCTGCCGTACACCCAACGATCCGAAAAGCCATGCGTCAGTCGGAGAGGTCGTGGTGCTGATGGTGCGATTGCAACGGCATGTGTCTTTGTTGTGTTTCGAGCGCCGCTCCTGTTTTAGGGTGTTTGAAACACCGAGCAAGGGTCAGGATGGGGTCGGGCGGGGCGTCTGCTCTTCCTCCACACGCCCTGTTGTTTCATGCCAACACTCGCGCATGAGTCACGAAATGTGCACCCAACACCGTGCGCTCAAACGCACTCACATGTTAGTGTTGCTCGGAAAACGGTCCAGCTACTGCATTAAGTTTGGTTGGCAAGCGTTTTGCGATGACCGTGTGCGTTACTTGCATGCTTTTCATTGTGGCCCTCAATTGGAGCCACGCAGCTAGGATTTAGCTCTTGGAAGAGCAGCAGGTTAAAATTGCGTCAAGGCATGAAAAACACTTGGTTGTACTTGATATTTTGTATTGGTGGGTATCGCCGATGGCTGCGACGACACACTTGGCGTTTGTTTCGTAACCCGGCCCCCAACGTTTATGTGACGCGCGTTAGGTTTTGTGCACGAGAGATTCAGCTTCCGGTGTTTCAGCTCGTCGCCATCATGCCCCCCTCCCCACGCAGCCGAACCACGCCAGTGGGAAGTTCAACGAGCATTATTGTAGACCCTTGGTTGTCGCTGCTCCTGTGTTGCTTTTGCTGGTGCTGCTGGTGCTGCTGGTGCTGCTGTAGACGCGAAACAATACCACAAGACATACACTCACTCACAGACCCTCGCTATTTTGCACAACAGGGGCTGCTCAAGGGTTGCTTCCCGGCCGTCTTCTCGACCATCGCTACTGGCATCGGGGGCTTCTTGATGTTCATACCGGTGACGCGCAACTTCATCGCCAAGAAGTTCCTCCCGGGTATGTATGCATATGCATGTGGACATGACGAAACTGATGTAGCTGGCGTACCTGAATCTACAGCCGCATCGGCGCTCGGGGATTGATGTGCACAGAGGGTTTGTCAAGAGCGCAGCGAGGGATGGGCGTGGCACAATAGTTGTATGCCAAACGAACTTCGCGTGGAGTGTGTTGGGCCTGGACCTTCGAAGAACACAGAATGTTTATCCTTGTATCGAAAGAGAGAGTGGTTGAAGGGGGGGGGAACACTGACTTCAAGGCACGGGCAATCAAAACTGTGCAGCCTCCGAAGGGATGGTTGGAAAGCAGACGGCGTGACAAGGCGGCGTGGTGGCAACAGGAAAAGGTGGCCTGGGCGAGGCTGGGTGGCGATTTTGTCCACGTAGGCAGCAGCCTGTTTGCTTCGTGTGTAGTTTACGGGAGTTTACCTGCACACCTTTGCTGCGCTCCCTGGTATCCCATGCCCATTGCAACGTATGTTCCAGTGTGACGAGCGGTTTGCACGACGCCGGGGGCATCGTGTTCTGCTGCTCCTTCTTCCGCTTCCTTCTTTTTTCGTTCCTTCCTCTTCTTGTAGACCCTCTCCCTGGGTGTCCATAATCTTTTTTGACGATTTCGGCGTCACCTGTCCCCCATAACTGACCCACCTGCGCTTTCTGTTGTTTTTCTCTCGGTATATTTATTTCTTTCGTCTGAAACAAACCAACGCCAACAACGACGACAACGACGACGACAACGACGACGACAACGACAATGACAGCCCCGGGAGAGGGTCCGTCGAAGGAGGTGAGGGACAGTGGGTACTTCTGGATCGACTTCCTCGCCAGCGGGCGATCGGAAGACGGCAAGGACGTGGTCTGCCGCGGCAAGGTCGGCAGCGACAAGGGCGACTGTGGCTACAAGGAGACCGCCAAGGTGCGAACGAGGGCATGCATGCACACACGATATTTAGTAACCCCCGGGGCTGAACTGCCGTCATGTACTCATCCTGTTGGACCTGTGTCTGTCAAGGTGTTTCTGTTGTGCCTCCGACAGCAGCTAATGCATGACATATGGGCTGCTTGTTGGTACTGGGTTGTGCTTCAAGTCGGGCAGCAATCCCTGCACCATGTCTGGTGTGCCCGGTCCTACGTTAGCTCTGAGTATGGTTGTCAATAACGTTGAGACTTTCACACGTTTCGGTACCTGAGCTTGACAACGAGTTTTTTGGAGAGGAGCAAAGCAAAGCAATGATGACGCTTCGCTTGCGAAACACGGACCACCTCCTTGACGTCCCGAACCAGGCTTGAGTTTGCAGCACGTCGCGCGGGACAAATATCTCGTACCTATATCGTCTAGGAAGACATCCTCACTCCCCCGACGGCGAAAGCAACAGTGACTAACGGGCACCGCCCTCCTCTCCCCTTTCTGCGTGTACCCCTCGGCCCAAACGTCTGTGTTGTTCACCAACGTTCTCGTCACTTCTTTTCGTGCAGATGCTTGCCGAGTGTGGTCTCTGTTTGGCCCTGGACGACCTGGAGTATAAGAAGGGCGGCGTTTTAACGACAGCCTCGGCCATGGGAATGCCCCTCGTCGATAGGTTGAATAAGGCGGGGATGATGTTCAAGATTTTAGACGAATAACATGCGACGTTGCTTCATTGTTTTTGTCTTGACTGATGCAAACTGCACATGACTTGGATGATAGCCCGGGCTGGCAACTCGTTACTTAGCGTTGCAAAGAAGATAGGTGGAAAATATATATTCGCGTTTGTTCGAAGAAATCAATTTCCCGGAGAATGTTTTGTTTTCACGTTTTGCCACCCGTGTACGCTGTGTTGAAAGGAAGCACACACGGCTTTTCTTTCTCGTCAGACTGTCGGCTTACCTTTGTTCTTGTCCTGCTGGATTTTTGTGTTGTTGGTCTCCTTCTTGTGTCTATTTCACTTTTTGTTGCAGAACATCCTGGCTTCTTTCCGTACCGATCGTCGTTGACCGTACATCGGGGTTGCACGTAGCTATATGGTTTGTTGCGGGCCTCAGCCTGTTGACCAAGTCACGCACTCCTTTTTGAGATGGAGAAGCACCTCCTTTCTTGTTCCTGGCAAGAGACACCACCTGGAGGCCCTCTACAGCAACGTACACGATGCAACTTGCATCGAAAGTGAGCGCTCTGCATCTTCCGTCCGTTTGGGTCCGTGGCCACCTACTATTTATCCCCTGAAGAGCGATCGTTTTGATAGAGGGGGGGGTACGTATCCACTCCAGAGAAAAGAGAGAAAAGGTGCCCGCAGTTTTCTGCGTTTTGGGCCTGGACGATATGCGTCCGTTGTATTTTTAGGGTCAAGTGGGACGTCGACGATGACAAAACGGGGGTGAACACACAGCGAGGGAAAGAATCTGTTGTGAAGGTGGAGTTCAACCCGCCGCAAAACAACCGGCGTTGGAGAATGGTGTCGAGACGCTGAGACAGATATCAAAGCAGAAAAAATCGAGACAGGGCAGCACAAACTAAAGACTCGTTGTGTGGAAAGGAGGGTTCTGTTGTTCCGTTTTTCATCCCTAGACAGCTCCCCGAGGTCAAACACGGTACCCTCCCTCTCCTTCGGCCCGCCCTGAGTCAGACAACAGCGATGCCCTCTTCGCATTACTTCAGTACGAACAACGTTCAAAGCCGATNGGCAGAGAAAATCGAGACAGGGCAGCACAAACAAGGGACTCGTTGTGTGGAAAGAAGGAGGGTTCTATTGTTCTATTTTTCATCCCTGGACAGCTCACCGAGGTCAAACACGGTACCCTCCCTCTCCTTCGGCCCGCCCTCTCGCACCCCCATGTTATACCCGCCTCCTCCCCCCCGCCCCCCCTCACAACCATTCCCACAGCCCCGTAAACTGACTAAAAACCCGACCACATCCTCCCCCCAAAACTCACGCCCCCCCTCCTCACAACGAAAACCCGGTACTTGTACCGCCCCTTACGAGATGAACAGCTGGGAGCCGGCAGGAACGTCCTCCACGGCAACCACGCATAGCTCCCCGGAGCCGTTGGTGCGCCACGAGCAGTTGGGCCGACACGAGTGGTTGAACATGGCGCCCGCCGGGTACAGGCCCACCCCGAAGTCCGAGTACAGGCAGCCCCGGATCCCGCTCCAGTAACGCCGCCCGGCGAGAGGCGCGGAAAACCCCGCCTTCCCGATCGTCATGGAGTTGCAGTACCTAAGGATGCGCAGGGAGTTCGTTGTCGGAAGGGTCCGTTTCGGGTGGGGACGGGTGCACCGCGAAGGTGGGGATGGGAAAGCTTGAGGGGAGGGGGGGGTGCTCCCTGCTCTACGAGCAGTTTGAGGGAGTAGATGCCGTAGGGTGAGCGCTCATCTTGTCAATTGCTGATCGCAAGGGCGCGGCACAACGGGGGCACAGACATGTTCCACGATTTCCGCGGGACGGGAGAGGGGGCTCCGGGAGGCATAGCACGAGCCGCCTCCTCGGGGAGGCGGGGGGGTGGTTGCGTCGGGCGTTTGACCATTGGGGGGAGCATGGGAAAGACCTTCTTTGAAGTACTACCCAGCCGCGTGGGAGCGTGCATCCCCAGACAAACATGGAAACAACAAACAAACGTACGCCCATATCGGCCGAAGTAGGTGTGGTGCAATGCAAATGTATCGGGCATTTCGAACGCGCTTCGCGGCCGAGATTCACATTTCTATGTTTTTAGTTGAAAGCGACGGTCTCGAGTACTGTCAATGTCCCGAGGAAATGCGAGAGAGACGGTGCTGTCGATCGGCCGTCATCTTGTGCAAACAACTGGACGCATCGAATCCTCCCGCGGCGCACATGTGCGGCACGACTCAACCGGATGCGTCTCAATGCTTGGTTTACTAAACACGCTGTTGGTTGGTGATGATGGCAAGCTTTTTTTATCACCCCTCGGAGTTTTCCTCCCCCCCGGTGTTTGCCATCGGGGTTGGGTTTTCGTCGCTTGGCNAGCAGAAAAAATCGAGACAGGGCAGCACAAACTAAAGACTCGTTGTGTGGAAAGGAGGGTTCTGTTGTTCCGTTTTTCATCCCTAGACAGCTCCCCGAGGTCAAACACGGTACCCTCCCTCTCCTTCGGCCCGCCCTGAGTCAGACAACAGCGATGCCCTCTTCGCATTACTTCAGTACGAACAACGTTCAAAGCCGATCCTGCCAACCTCGTACATGATTTTCTGTGATTGCGAGTCTTTTGCTGTTCACGCACATCAAGCGCGGTTGATTGTGTGACGAATCATCACGTGGCAGCAAAGCAAAACGCACCGACCCATTTCCTTGGTGTTCCCCGAAGAGCTATTAATAGCTCACTTGTGTGCACAACAATAGACCTCACCACACGATATACATAGAATACGCGATGGCGCTTCACGTCGGGGGGTTGGGGGCGCGACAGCCTGTGCTCGGTCGTTCCATCTCGGGCATCTACATTTCAAAAAGAAGCCCAAAAATTAACAGTTATATTCATTTACATTTTGGACGTCACTAACGCCTGATTCAAGTGGTGGAATTCGGACGCAAGGATTCCAATAGTGCGTGCAGAATGCAGGAGAAGGGTTCGATTCAAGTAGGCCGCTAAAAGTTAACATCTGGGCTCCAACACGCGTCAACGAGAACATATCGCGCCGAGCGAAAAAATACGAGGAGGCGTGTTTTAAGTTTTACATGAACAAGCCGCAACACCAAAACCCGATCTCTGCCTTCTTTGACATGACTGGCCCCTTGCGGTACTCTCCGCCCTGCCTGGAGACCATAACCATGTCACGGTAAACTCCCTCCTCAACGGTGATCGACAAGAGCAGAGCATCAGTCATCGAGCGGACGGCTCGAGCACAGCTGCGACGCATAAACATACGGGTGTTTTGGTGCGGTGAGACAGATGTAAGGAGCGCTCCTTCCTCCTTCTTATCTCACCGTGTCGGAAACATCACCACGCCGTGTCGCGTGCTGTGCAAACGCGTCTCACTTCAGCAGCAGGGCTTTGACATATCGCCATGCGTTGCGTTGTTTCACCCGCTTCGGCCCTCAGTAGAGCTAGCTCGTTCTGTAGATCTGTGCGGGCGTTACAGCTGGCTGCGGGGCCCACAAAAAGGTCGGGGATGAAGTGGGAGATTTTTGGGGGCTGGTGGTGGGCGGTGACGAGGATCGTCTCCCTGGTGGCGGCTTTACACACCACGACCGCCGCCGTCAGTGCCGGGAAGCTCGGGGTACCTCGAGACCACGACACAAACGCGGCAGGCCTTCATCGATGGAGAATGCACAGACACACCGAGGAGGAAAACAAGGAGGGGGCTGCGGGAGCCGACGACCCTACTGTCGGCCTACATGTGTCAACGACGATTCAAAACGAGCTGAGTGAGTACACAGGCTGGAGCCCCGAGCTGCTGGCCGGGAGAGATGGAGATGATGGCACGGGGGCACGGCGGGTAGTGTCCGGCGTCGCGGCGCCACCTGGGGATATCCTCGAGAGCACCTTCTCGGCGTATCGCGAAATCTCTGGGGAGATCCTGGTAGGTTGCAATTGAGGGCAATGCTAGTCTGCATACATTTTGTCTGTGTCCATAACGAGGATTAGTCTACCGGATTTGGGTGAGGCCTGCTGCGCCGGCCTGTGGTCCCGCTCATACGTCCCTGCCTCCGTTGTATGTACCAGAGTTTTGAACACAAACAGGCGATTATAGACTCACCTATTCTTCTTAACACGCTTCTGATCTGGGGAATAGTGTAGGGCGTTAGTGACCTGCACAGCAAGGCCTACATGCCGCATAGACGACCGTATACAATGTAACCTTTTGGCGTCTCTGAAAATTTCAATTGGAGAGCGCTCACGAATACCGCACAAGGTAACACCCCCGGAGACACTATTGTGTGCATACATACGTGCATACCATGTTTCCTGCTCTTAGCAGACTGCTGTACAACAGTACCAGCTAACGCCTTCCAATTCGGCGCAAAGCATCACACCGACCGGTGCAATCATTCGAAAATAATGTCACCCGATGTTGTTGAATGTGGGGTGGTTTCTTCGGTGATCCTATTAACTGATCTGGGTTGTCACTACGGTTTGTGTTTTTCCTGGCCCTGAAGAATATTGTCAGCAAGGGGAGGGTGGTATTTGTTGTGGGGTGTGTCATATCTTGTGTGGTAGTGCACGGAAAGTCGCAATTCAGTAGTGAACGGCGCTTACCACCGCTGCAGTCTACATATGGTAGTGCACGAACTACAGAGAGGGGAGGGATTGAGGAATGTTATGGGATTTGAGTCCCTTCTCATTATAAAACATAATGGCGAGAACCATAGCTTGCAAGGATCAATAGCCAGCTCGTTGTTGTTCAACAGCGCAACAAGCCGACTTCCGTCACGGGGTTGATCTTGCTCCACCTTTCCCGGTGGTGTTCCTCCTCCTCTCATGAATGAACACTGCTGTTGAACTCGTGGACGCCCAATAACGGTCACGCCTTCCATAGACACGGCCAACACGGGCAGGTTGCCGGCTACATGCCCGTCCGCATACACACATTGACACGAACATCACATTTGCTTTAAACTGTCTTCACAGAAGAGGTGGGGGCCCGAATATGCCAAAACCACCCTGTTTTCGGGAGGAATGGAATTCTCGGACGGGGGCAAGGTGGTAGGGGACAAGATGCTGAACGCCGTGCTGCGGCAAGAGAGCTTCCTCGCGGTTTTCACAGGCAAGAAATCTAGGCATTGTTGTTATGCCCCTCTCACCATGACAAATTGTGTGGGAAGCATCGATCGCCCTATCATTCGGTTTATCCGCCCGCCAATGCGCAGACAATGCCGTCACTCGAGACCTTGGTGGTTGACAAGCCAAGGCCCGAAACGACCAACAATTAAACGGAATACTGGTAGACGATTGTCTAGTTGCTGATGAACGTGAGTATCGCTGTGGTCTAACCGACAATTTTTCCACCCGGTTTTGGTCCTTTCTGGATGTACTCAGAAAGACCTGGGACATGTCAATTGGACGAAATTCATATAAGAGATTCTCGCACTTCCCGCAGGAGTATCCACCACCGCCGGGCATGATGATCTCTACGAACAGAGCTACCCCATCGTGCTCAACGGAACGCTCGGCCGGCTAATGGCCGCCGCCGGGGTGCGGTACGAGGCGATCAACGTGGCGATGGGCAACACAAGAGTTGCACCGTACAGGTGCAAAACCACATTAGTATCCGAAACATGACTCCGTTCTCCAGGAAACAGCGAGAAGCGACACAGAAAATCATCAACCTCAGTTTGCCCC